GTCGGTCTATCTATCTATCTATCTGTCTGTCTGTCGATCTATCTATCTATCTATCTATCTAGCTATCTGTCGGTCGGTCGGTCGGTCTATCTATCTATCTATCTATCTATCGATCTAGCTATCTATCTGTCTATCTATCTATCTGTCTGTCGATCTAGCTATCTATCTGTCTGTCTGTCTATCTGTCTGTCGATCTATCTATCTGTCTGTCTGTCTGTCGATCTATCTATCTGTCTGTCTGTCTGTCTGTCTGTAACATCTGTATATTGTATGCAATATTCATGCATTCAATATTCAAAATAAGTGTAAGACAATATAATACAATATTTTTTTGTATTTAACAGACATTTGACATTGTGAAAAACGTATTTTTTTAATAATGTGTACATAAACAACTAAAAAATAACTATAAGGAAAGTTGCTAGTGCGAAATTCACTTTATGTTATCATAGTAAGAACCGTTTTCGTCAAAATGGTAGTTATGAGTTACTGTTACTACAAATAAAGCGTAAAGTTCACATTAACATACAGACGCATCAAAAAAATATACTAAATCACAACATTTATTCTGAAAACTCGTTTGAACGAGATCCCATATTCGTTTATTATGGTTTTGCAGTAGCCACGATAGTATTTCGGCGGTTACCATGGTATTACATAGTGAGAGGCACATGACTGAATGACTGCAGCAGTGAGTTCGTGAGTTCGTTCATACCTCCCACTCCTCCAGCAGTCTGGCCATATCCGCGTCATTATAATCCCTTATGTCTTTCTTCTTCTTTGGTTTAGTGTCTGTACAATGCACAGATATGAATAATATGAGAAAAAACAATACTGATACAGTCCTGCAGCTGACGGAAAACGCCATCTTTAAACCTGGAGCTCGCTGATTGGTTGAAATCTTTCCGCTAGTCACGGGTTTAAGGAAGGGGACGTGTCGACGTGATCACGTGTCTTACTGTCGAGAGTGTTTAAAAAAAAAAGTTTTACATTTATTTGTTGCAAAAAGAATATAACAAAAAGTTCAATCTATTCAATAATTGCATTACGATAATAAACACAAAGATTAATAATATGGATATGATGCATCAAATGCAAAATACATTATGAAGAGTCTCTGATGCAATGCATGTTTGTGATTACATTACATTACATTACATTTGAGGTGTGTGAACCCCCCCACACACACGCCTCAAAAACTTTATTTGCATCAGCCTGAGTACAAGAACGTATAAAACAAGAAGAAACACTAAATATAGAGTGCGTGGTAAATAATGAGATACAATAAAATAAACATCACATCTGAAAACGTTTTAGTTTTGCATCTCTGAAACAGTTTTAATGCATATCTTGAGGTCAGTATATTTAGTAGATTACACTTATGCTATATAATAAACTGATAGCATGCACTAACATAACTCTATTTTTGGAAGCTGTTTTAAATGATCTACAATCAATTAACATTTAAAAAAGAAAGCTATAAAGACAAAGTTTGTAGAAAGTGAGAGTGTTACTTTTTATTTATTTTTATTTAGTTTTTTGTTGTATTTTTTCTGTTTTAGTTAGCCTATGTATACATAATAAATGTTCAATATTTACAAAAGTGCATGCATATATAGCTAAACTCCCTTGATACCAAATAAAATGTAACACGATATAATAATATCAGTTTTATGGTCTGTTTTTTTTTTCAGCTCTGCACAGGCTGGGTCTCTGCAGTGCTTGTTCATGGGACGCATATGAGGTGTGAGGCTCATTCAACAGAATCGGAACGGTTTCCTCTCAGGACACCCCACCCAATGGCACAGTGCCCCGTGCAGCTGTACAACTGGCATGCAGTATTCACGGCCCCAGCCCCCAGTTCACATCTAGCACACTACATACACATGCTTTGTGTAATCCAGTAGCTTTATTCTGCTGGAATTTAATAAGGAATCAGACCAAACAAAGTACATCAGGGATCTGCATTGAATATGAAGAACATCTGTTGTTTGAAACTGATGGAGTAGAGCAATGCATCATTGTAGAATGTAATATTAAGGGTTAAAGATAAGCTTAAGTGTTTTATATGAAATCTTCATAGTATGTTTGTAAGTCCTCATAATGCAGTATTTAGATGGTCATCATATATGACCCTTTAAGTTGCTGAAAGCCCTTCCCGTGTCCAAAGAGGAGGGTTTTCAGTGCAGCAGCCCCACCTTGTTGATTCTGATTGGCTCCTTCGCACTCCCATCGTCTCTTGTTGTCTAATGAAAAGTACTCTACTGCATTTACGTCATAGCATTTGCAGCGGTGAATCCGATTTCCCTTCCCAAGATGAGTCAGCTGTTTTGAGGCCAGCTTGATATTTTTATCACAGCGGTAGGGTGATTTATTTATTTTTGAACTATTATTTCTATTAGCGTTATAAAGACCCCTCGCCACAAGTATGTATACTTACATTCCAGGACTCACAAAAGAGGACGAGTGAAAGCTAATCAAATAAATATTTGACAAATTATTTTTGTTGGATTGAGTTATTTCAAATGCCTGTTAAGGACCAAAACCTACACACATTAAGAATAAATACATAAACAAAGGTGAATAATAGATGAATAAATACATGTATATTTGCACAAAACGATATAAATGGATTGTAATTAAACATAAATAAATAAATAATGTTTTTTACTTTTGAGCTTGAATTAAACTAATTTATTTATACAATTGTCTATTTAATATTTATTCATATTTAAGTATTATAATGAAATAGGTTACTTTAAATAATATATAATAGATAATAATATATCAATAATTAAACAAACGACACAATAGAGCAATATATTTAAATTTTCTCGCTATTGAATTTAACCCTTTTATTCACAATTTATTTTTATTAATTTAATAATTTATTTATTCATATATATATATATATATATAATAGGATATAAATACAGTGTAAATATATATATATTTATAATATTAATTGTAAAAATAATGATATATATATTCCAAATAGCACAAAATGTGACAGAAACAAAAAAAGAAGAAGAAAAAACGTTTCAGTTGAGAAGACCGACCTTTAGAATACAAAAACATAATAATGCCACCGGCGTTCCCGCTAAACCAAACAATAATTCGCTCTATGCCGCTCTGAATGCGAACATCGTGAAAGTAGTAAATACCCGCACGCGAGAGTACCTGTTGGATTTACAGGGAAGCGCAAACCTGGGGAAAAACACCGGAAACAAGACACAACTAAACTAACGAAAAGGGGAAACACAAGGAACCTCTCTGGAATTTCTCTTTGGGTGTAACTTTTGCCCTCAGACCGGTAGTTGAGTCTCACATCGGGGCCTCTGGAAACGATGACTGGGTGAGGAATGAACGCGACTTCTCGCGCGACTGACGGTACCTCAGAAAAAATAAGTGTATCGTTTGAGCGGCCGGCGACTTAAAAGGAGGGACTTCGTCTCGCAGACCAGGAATAATGGTTGTGGACTGGAGGGTATGAAAGTGCCAGAGTTTGCTGGAAGCTAACAGGCTATTCAGCCACACCCTCCCGCCGCTTCCTGATACGCAAGATGTAGCGGGAGACTACAACCGACGCGCGAGAGTCTCAATAGCGAACGGAGTTCGTTATCGTCGCGGAAACCGCGTTAAAACTTTCAGCCGAGCGTTTAAAGAATGGCAAGCAAAAGCGAAACTATCTGCCACTGGACAACCGAAGCTTTCCTGCTGGAGAGGGCGTATGGACAATAGATATGCATAAGGAACTGAGTTTGCCCACAGAACTTGGATTGTGTATGAAAAAGAAACGGCTGAAAGTCGTTCGGGAACGTTTTATGAATTTCCGAGGTGTCCTGGGATGATGGTGCAGTGGCGGCGGGGCGCCTGCGCGTCTCCCGCTTCGGTCGGCGGGTCAGCAAGACGGTCAATATATCATCAGCAGCATCACATCGCAGCAGGACATGTATTTAAATGCATGTAATGTGCATGACACGAAGAAAAGTAGCGATTCTGGAAGTCAACCTGCACTTTGCCTTCGTCTGGGCATCTTCTTGTACATGGCACTGCAGAAGCCTTTTGGAGAAAAGAGTGTTTTTGGTTTCTTTGCATTGTTGGAGCGACATTGACAACCTGTGAAACTGATCAGACTGTAGCTTACCTTATCGGAGGTAGTTGTGAATTCTATTCTATGCTCGTTTTTCTCATTATGCACACCTAAAAGCTGATTATTTACACATTGGGCAAATCATTTGAAGGGATATTTAATTAAAGCTCTCATCAGCACCTTTTTTTTATCCAAATATTTTCCTAAAGTACTTCCCTTATTGGTGCATTGAGTGAAGTTTCAAATTATTTTGAGTTTTCAAAGCTGAGTGGAGTTTTTCTGAAGGACGTTATTGGCCAGTTTCACTCTCCCTGAGAAGGTGCGGGAATCTTTTTTTTTTATTTACTGAAGAAAATGACATAAATCACAAGAGAACGTATGTTGTGATCTTTATTTTGAACATTAGCGCGACCACACTACTATGGCTAGTAGTGGCTCGGGAAAATCAGATGAGGTTTCTACCAACATCCTTAGCGGAAGCTTGCAACAAAGGAAAAGACTTTCATCCATCTGTGACGCATGCAAGAGCAAAATGCAGCTGGTGGCGGAGCTGCTCCTGCTGTCCAGTGAGACCAGGCCGGTGGTGAACACCGACGGGATGCCTGTAGCAGAGACGTTCGAGAAATGTCGCGACACGGTGATCGCGCGAACCAAGGAGCTGTCGATCATCGTTCACGATATCCAGAGCCAGCTCAACATGGGGAAGTTCGTGGAAGTCGGCGACCGACTGGTCGAGATGGGGGACCTAGTGGTCTCTCTGACTGAGTATTCGGCACACGCCGCATACCTAGCAGCCGTGGAGATCCCAGGTTCCCAGGCTGCCGTTTCTGGCCTGGTTGACCGCTACAAAGTCACCCGATGCCGACACGAAGTGGAGCAAACGTGCAACATTCTCCGCTTAACGGCTCTGGCCGACCTGACGCCGCAGCTCCTTCTGGAAGTCTCGCAGAACATCCTGAAGAACCTCACCACACTTACGGATGCCTCCTCTCTGGCCAGTGATAAATCCAAGGACAAGTTCGCCAAGGAGCAGTTCAAAGCCAGCGTCAAGTGCATGAGCACAAGCGCCACGGCTCTTTTAGCATGCGTGCGCGAGCTAAAGGCCTGCCCGAACGACCTGACCCGCAATCGCTGCGTTCTTTTTAGCGGGCCGCTCGTGCAGGCCGTGCATGCCTTGGTGGGTTTCGCCACCGAGCCGCAGTTCCTCGGCAAAGCTGCAACCATCCCCCCTGAGGGAAAAGGGGTGCAGACGGCCATTCTGGGCGGCGCCATGAGCGTGGTTTCGGCTTGCGTGCTCCTGACCCAGGGCCTCAGGGATATTTCCCAGCATCCCGAGAGCAGCTCCCAGATGCCCATCTATCGGGAGCGGCTGCGAAACTCTGCATGCGCCGTCTCGGACGGATGCACACTCCTGTCTCAGGCACTAAGGGAACGATCCTCACCTAGAACTTTACCGCCAGTTAACTCTCATTCTGTGAATTAAAACTCCTCCCCAGCACATTATTTTGAAGTACCAAAGAATCTAATCAGGTTTAACCCCACATACGCTCATAAAAATAAAGGTTCCATAAGGATGATGATACACGGGGGCACTTTTTGAGCAATGTTGCCATCAACGGGCAACCAGGTGAGACACAGGACCCACGACTGATCTAAAATATCCAGATAATTTGTTACCTATTCTCAATGGGAAAGTGCCCAAGCAACATTGCTCAAAAAAAATTGCCCTGCAAAATTGCTCAAAAAGTTGCTCAGTGTATCATCAGCCTAAAGGGTTTTCACAGCGATTCCATTGAAGAATCATTTTAGGTTCCAAAAAAGAACCTCGCAGAAAACAGTTCTTAAAAGAACCATTATCTAAAGAACCTTTTCTGCATTTGAAAGGTTCCGTGGAAGTTAAAGATCCTTTGTGGAACCGTCAATGTCAATTAAAAACCTTTATTTTTAAGAGTGTAGTGTGAGTAAATGTAGTAATTAAAATGTTTTAATTTACTTTTCATGGCAGTTGGCTTTACTCAAGCTCACATTTGTAGGTTTTTCTCAAACTGGATGTGGTTGGGGAAGAAGTAGCTTTTACTAAAACTGACAACTTTTGCAAAATCTGTGTCAGTTGAGAATATAATATGGCCAAAAGTGGCCATTACAACAGAAGCCTTAAAATGAAACTGAAAGTCTTTACCTCAGTGTTTAGCTGAATGGACGTCATTGAGATTTGTAGAAATCATCAGCATAATAATGTGCGTATTCCATGTGTGAATTTGTAATGAGTAAAAGCTGCTGTGAGTGTGTGCCATAGGTTTTACACTATTTACCAGACTTGCAATTATATTTTAATGTGCTGTGTTTTTTCCCTTTGCCCACGCCTAATTTTTTATCATGCATGTACTGGAGTATTTATTTCAAGTAATTAAAAATGTTGTTTCTCAACGGTTATTGTGCGACATCTCAGTTAAAAGATTAAAATACTTGATTATTTTAAATCTACGAAAGAGGCCAAACGTTTTCACTGGATGAGCGGAAACGTCAAAATATGTGCTTGGAGCAAATTAATCTTTAGATTGATCATAAATGATGCATCCTAGCATTAGAAATGAGAGGAAATCTGACAGGTTTTTGTGAAAGTAACTAGGAATTTTGTCAAAGGATTTCAGTTTTTCTTTCACTAAACTGGGTGATTGAAGTTAAACCTAATAATAATCCTGATGCCTTTGAAGGGCTTTTAATGCAGAAGCTTCTTCGACTAGTTCCTGGTGTGCTCCATTTGTTACCATAGTCCTCGATAAGCCTCCTGCTACCCTCATCTGTGTGTTTGAAGTCTGGAATGTTTATCTCTGCCTCCGCCGCACATCCTAAGTGTAGCAGTTTATCCCACACATTTCCTGTACAGAAAAACATTGATTAGTCCATTAATGTAAGACACACTAGCATTTTTAAGTGTTTTGTCAGATTTCAGTGTTTAAAGTACTTTATATCTCAGGTATAAGTAAATACAACAATCTACATTAAGGTAAATCTCAGTAAACGTGTCAAGGATATGCCATGTCATATTATTCCCCCCCCCCCCAAAAAAAAATTAATATGCCTATTTAGTGTTAATTTTGATCTACTGTGAATTTTTGCATAATTTTCAAAACAGTCACACTGAAAAAAAAATTATACTAATTTTTTTTTAAGTTAAGTGGTTGCAAACTATTTATTTTAGCTACATTCAAAAAAAAAAAGTAAACTAGATTATTTAAATGCAGCTAAAATAAATTGATTGCAACCACTTACCTTAAAAAAAAAAAGTAAATTAAATTAATAATTTTTTTCGTGCATGCACATTTTCATCCAAAATTCTCATTACTATGTAATTCAAAACAAAATTATATATGTGAATTGTACTGTAAACTATAATTTTATTACATATATAGTATTAATACTATACCCTACAAAAATATTTATTTTCTTAAAGAACTTTTCTTATATTTTCTTTTGCCTGTCTACTGTTAATGTAGTGCTTTTTTTGTGTGTGCATTATTTTCATAACAATCATGCACATTTAATCCAAAATTCTCATTACTGTAATTCAAAACAAAATCATGGGTAACACTTTACATTACAATAAGGTGCCATTTGTTAACATTAGTTAATGTATTTACTAACATGAACAATACATGCATTACACTATTTAGTAATCTTTGTTAATGTTAGTTAATAAAAAATACAGTAATTTGTTGTTTGTTCATGTTAGTTCATAGTGCATTAACTAATGTTAACAAACAGCTTGTGAATTTAATAATGCATTAGTAAATGCTGAAATCAATATGAATAAATAATGTAGAAGTATAGCTCATTCTTAGTTCATGTTAACTAATGTAGTTAACTAATGAACCTTATTGTAGTGTTGCCAAATCATGACTTGCATAGTAAATCATATCATATTACATATACAGTAATGTTGTACTCAGATTTGTTTCTTATACCCATCTAATGTTAATTTTTTTATCTACTGTGAATTTTTGCATTATTTTGTAATTCAAAACAAAGTTATATATGCTTTATATAGTAAATCATTCTCTTTTCATGCTGAAAAACATAAAAACTCTTGCTGCACAACAGGAAGCCAAATGACCACTTCTATCAGGAGACGCTTTCTTCACAGCACAAAATGTCGGAGAAATAATTTCAGCCCAGGTTTCGCCCATTTCCCGCAAAAAGGAGAGAAGTGCAAGCTCTTCCCTGTCCTATTATGCAAGCGGTTCCCCTCGTGTGCTGTGAGGGTCTGTCTTCTCCCCCTGTCTCCAGTGTCCTGTTTCAGATTCATTATTATCAGTGTAAACACCTCACCCTCAAAAGCAGGCAGACGTATGGCTGATGTGGGAGAAAGAGCTGTCAGGAATGTTAACATCTGAAATTAAATTTGACATGTTTAGGAGGAAAAGCAATCGTTCAATTGTTTTCTTTAGCTCTCCAAAAGACCAGGTGTAAATAAATCTGTGGCACACTAATATAAACTCACACCTGCAGTTTTGTTGCTGTGGATTTTGGTCTAATATTTAGTGTGTTATGGATTTGTTCTGGTGGCATTAACACCTTGTTACTCATTTGAGACCTAATAAGATGCACGTGGTGAGAGTAGAATGAAGCTGAGCTCATAATTTATGGAAAAACCTTATCAAATGGCAGACATTGGCATTTAGTTAACATGCTGCCTCCGGGCTATAGCACTGCGTGAGGGGAATTTATAGTCAATACACTTTATTTTGTTGCCCTTTCGGTCCTATCCATTACACTCCAAAAAAGAAAAAAAAATTATTTATTCGCATTGCATCCACTAAATTACACACTTTTTTTTATTAAACTAAAATGCAATGCATTTGTCAGTCATACATACATGAAACAAGAAAACATTTCTGCACTCAAAAAACGTTTATTATATTTATTATATTTTGTAATTTATTATTGCATCTATTTAAATCATAAAATCATTTTTTTCAAAATGCATTTATTCAAATTGTTTATTCTTCAAATTGACAAAATTAGAAAATTCAAGCCTATAAATGACCATTAAAGACCCAATAATAATAATTGTATTATTATTATTGTGCTATATAATATTACATATTATTAAAAATGTGTTAAAACTTTGACTTTTTCAGCTGTGGAAATTCACTGATATTTCCAGGGCCTTTAGAGTTTATGTTTAAAGTCTACATTTAAATATTTAATTTCATGTAAACATTGTTTAACATGCTTATGCACATGGTTAAAATATGGCTAACTCTGGAATGTTTGATGATAAACATATGATATAAACCTGGTTATTGTGTATTTAAACCACATTCAGTTTATTAGTAGCAGCTATTATGGAAATATGACCTGTTTCGTTTCGACTGACTGATGGAAATTGTATATGCAATTCAAATACATACAATTTAAATTTAGGCCTAAATATTTGTCCATTTTCCACTGGTTTTGCTTAAATTGGCTAAAATCTGCCCATTTAGAGTGGTTATAGGTTACAAATTGTAGTAGGTTCGAGGTTAAAGATTAAGAATGAGAATTTGAATAGACTACATCCTTGATAAAAACTCGGTTACCATTATAGGTTGGTTTAAGTTTAGTGTATCAAACAACAGCTGTGCTCTTGGCCAGAAGTGACGTCTCTTGGAAACCGAGGCCGAATGTCAGTGTTGTGTGATTTGAGACCGATGGTATCAGATGTCCCTCCGCTCACATAAAACACACAGCCGGGTCATTGTGCCAACGTTTGCAAAAGGGCAGCTCACGTTTCATTTTCAGCATTTCACTGAATCTGCATCCAAGTTGGTAAATATTGACATGTTTTGCCAATAACTGCTTAAAGGTCATATTCTGAAATGTTTACATAGTGGCTTAGTAACAGACAATACCTTCTCAGGTGATATATACTCTATTTACCATTGTCACAATATAATATAAGGTAAAACAGAACTTGAAGCGTCCCACCAATTCATTTAAAAACACAACAATGTAGGAACGAAAGAAAGTGTAAATACTTGCATTGCTGACTCTGTATTGAGAGGACTGTTCCTCACTAAAAATACTGATACCCAACTAGTAATTTTCTTATTTATTGTGAAAATGAATGTGCAAAATAAACTTGGGGGGGGGGGGGGGGGGGGGGTGGAAACAACA